CTAGAACATGGAACCGTACACAGTCTCCTGGCCATGCATGCAGAGAGATAACACACCGTAACATCCATCTATAGAATGAGCAATGCAGTGCCGTCACGTAAGTCGTCTACACCGCAGATGCTACTTCCAAGGATSGATGAGCATCGCACCGGCCAAACCGGAAGTCTCCAAYCCCGCGGCTGGCCTCAAAGTCTCCAACCTCGCACCCCGGATGGGCGATACTCAAACCAGCAGGTAAGTGACCAAACCCCACTGTATAGGAATGTGCCTGGCCTGTCGTGTGGCCAGGTCCGCTGTTTGAGACTCCGGAAGTGGAGCTCTCGCAACAAGGTAGAATCACAAGGTGATCGTGAGGGTGAGCTGAATCGTACCATCACCACCCTAGCACCACTCCTAACTATCCTCCGTTCGTGCCAACGCCTGCTCTGGCCCTAGCACTGGCCTGTTCGCTACTCCGTTCGTCGGAGCATGCTCGCATGTGGGCAGGCTCAACCTCGTCACCGCTGCAGCAACCAGGTATGCCCCCCTTCTCCCCTACTCGCTCTCCCCATCCCGTTACTTTTCCTCTCTCCCCTCCGCCGCATTCACCCCTTGCTCCTCCCCCGTGAGGCCTTCAGTCACGTACCTGCACCTGGCCACTAATACGGCCAGGTCCAGTCACCGACACTAAGGGAAGGAGAACCCAGTCTGCAGATCGGGGAACGCAGCTGGGTATGGTAGCTGAGGTGGCATTGGCACGATGGCGAGCGAGGGACAGTGGGACACTGTAGTGAAAGTTCCGATGCCGAAACATGGAAGAATACATGTTCGCTTCCTCACCCCTCCTTTGGGTGCAGCCCCTACCCATCCTATCGGCCRAACCACTCCTCAGATCCAACTTCCGACGCGGCCATCAGATCCGGAGCGCATCAAAACCCCCATTTCAAATCTTATCTTGCTCAATTCCGTGTGGAAACGGGCGAGATATGCCCTTTTTCGCTCTGCCATGTCAACAAATTTGATGCCTCCGCGCACTCCATTCCCCTCCTAGCTCCCATTCTACTCAACCATCCATCAATCTGAGGGCAGATTCGAGTTTGCACAGGTCCAAAACCTCAGGAATGGGTCTTGGTTCGTCCGATTCTGTTGAGGATCGAGCGAACTATCCACTTCTTACTCAACCATATCCACTCATTCGTTTACCTCCGCGCAGCCTATTCTCTACTAACCTCCTAATCTACTAAGTCCTTGGCTATTCTGTCTATACTAACGAATTCGCCATGTCAGGAAACCCCCATCCCATCTTTCACCCCACTCGATTCTATCAAGAATCGAGTGATATCTCGTTTCCTTCTCCCCACCATAGCCATTTTCCCGTCACTGCGCTCTGCCTTGCTCTGTGCACGCACCCGGCCCAGAAGTCCATCCGGGTTCACTCAGCCCATTTCCACCACTCTGTTAGCCTCGCCCTCCTTCGAGGCAATCAGCATCTGACCATAACGGGCCCCGCACTGCCGAGCACAGTCTGATCAGACTGTCCGTGGGCGATAGTCTGGAAGTGGCCGATTATCAGAACGCAGATTTGTCTTTCGTCCTTATACCCTGTTGGACAGACAGCGTGGCCAGCCAGTTTCGTCGCCAGCCCGCTACAGTCTTCCCTTCCCTTGCTCTACTCCGCCCGCTACTGGTAATACAGCCCTGTATATCATT